AATATGAAGGTAAATGGTTTAACTGAAGAGCAGGGATCATGTAGAAGATTCCTGCTCAGATAACAGGGAAAAATCCAAAGTTTTCCATTAGTGAGACTAAATGCAAAGAGGCAGTTAAGACGGTGTTTAAAGAGCAGCATAGCCGACGGCCTCGGAGGTCAGAAAGATGTAAGATGAAGTCAGGATCAGTTTCAGCCTGACCAGAACAACTCCAGCAGCCCTCAGTGGGATGCCGGGCTGAGACAAACACAAAGCTGGACCATTAGTAACTGATGTGTGTGTCTCAGAGATAAATGACCTGGTGATGTCCTCTATATGAAAATGGATCTCTGGGGACCACAAAGCACCTATGACGATAAGATGTTCTTTCTGTGCCTTTTAATGTGTCTGTGTGTTTCTTCACCAAAACCAGAGACTGACACGTGTTAGATCTTACACCATGAAGATTAATAACATACAAAGGATGCATAGAGTCTGAAATACTTTAATGAGTGTAGTATATGTATATCTCTATGTCTGTTCCCAAACTCGTAGATTACTGCTTCAATCGTGAAGAAACTAAGCCTATAAGCTACTTAGGGTACCAAGATTTGTAGCATTTGTGTGGTAATACAAAATATTTACATCAATTACAGAGTACTGTTTGTCCAAATGCACGTTATATTTTTACTGACCACCAGACGATTCAACTCTTAAGAACCGGACAGTTTTTGACCATGCTTGCCATAAAAGGCATTGCTGCGAATGATGGGTGTGGTTGTTGTACTCATACCTCTGCCCAAAATCATATTTTGCACTAATTTAGTAATTAAGCCATTTGTGTTTATGATTCACATGTAGAGCAACATTTACAAATAATAGAAAACATGTGTAAAACAATCACTGTAAACAGCTGATGCTGAAATGAGCCATACTAAATACATGATGTGGCCATTACCATACCATCACTTTTTATAGTTTACATGGTCCTAATGAATTTCTAATGGTTCCAAATTCTTAGTAATTAAATACATTTTCTTTAAAATTCTCAACTGTAATTGGGCCAAGTTTGATGGGTCGACATATTAATGCACATACACTGTGAGTGCAGTGTGCATTGTATCCAGTTACTCTATTTAAATTATTTTTAAATGATTGGATGAGCCAGTGTATTTTTTAAATTAAGTTTTCCAGAGGTAATTTGGGTTTGATTGGTCCAGGTTAGGACAAATCAATAATTAAAATATCTCCTTCGAGAATAACTGTCCTTGTTACACAGGATACTTCTCCACCTCTGACTTACCGTCATGTTGCTGCAGTTGTTCAGTTCAAAGTCGGTGATCCAAAGCTACGTTCTCCTCTTCATTTAGCAGGTGCACCAGCTGGTAGAGCCTCCACGCCGAGTCTTCTTTCCACCCACTGCACCAAAATGCAGAATTGTCGCAGCCGGCAGAGTTTGGTTGTAGTCTGCACTCAGTCAGGAAAACCCTTCGACTGGATTGCGAGAGGCTTTCGTGGCTGCTGCTGCTACAACCTTTATCCCAAAGTGATCTGTCCTCACCTCCCCTCCTCCTCGTGTCCTCTCTTATTGCAGTGAAAGGCGGATCCTGAAGGGTGTCATGCAGGTTTGTGTGTGTAGAAGACCGTATGTTACCTCCAACCTCTCATTATTTGGGTTTTAAGTTCAGTTGACCTGTGTTTTGCACCAGTTATCTCTGTTGAACATTTCACACATTTTACGATTGTGACTGTAATTTCAAAATGGATTTAAAAGCAGTTAACAATCCACAAGTGGAACTGACGACTGCTAAAAACATGACTCTCTATGAAATAATCTTTAGTGCACATTGTCATAAAAATAAAGTAAAAAAAAACCCCAGAAATTTGTAGAAAGTATGACACATCTTAAATGGCTTTTGTTGTCTGCTAAAGAATAAATGTTGGTGGTTTGACAATAGACAGCTGCAGCAAAGGACAATGGAATTAGTCTGGATCCACGATATAGTCCTGGATAGCTGGATAAATGGTTAAGAAAATGGATAGGTGATCAAGTCAAAGAATAAATCTCACTTAATATGGCACTCAGTTTGATAAAATGTATTACTGCTGTGATTGGAATGCAAATATCTGAGATCTGATATTTATTTTGAATGCCAAAACTTGAGTGGTGTGTTTTTCAATGCTTTCTACACCACACCTCAGTGCCACCTAACAATGGTAGACCTGCATACTTTCAAAAAGGAACACTAGCTTGGAAGAGCATGGAAGGAGAAAGTACAAACCCCCACCAAAATCTGTTGCTCTCAAAGGAAAATGTAGCCGACAGTTGGATTCTTTTCCTCATGCAGTCATGTTAGGTTCAGCACTCACTGGGAAGCATTTATTGCACTTACAGTAATGTATTGAGTTGTTTTCAGCTCCCACACGTAACTGTGGTCTACTCTTCTTGTGCAGATGTGGTGAAGCAGAGGACATGGAACATATGAGACTACATTCCTGTAATGACCCAAATATTTGGCTTTGTGATTTTAAATCAACAAGTGTCATTCAAAAAAAGCTGAAGAATCTTTATTCAGCCTGTTTCTAATCTGTAGCATGATCAGCATGTCTTTTATGTTCCTTTCCTCTTCTTCTTTTTTCTCTGTCATCTTAAATATTCACCAGCTGCTCTGAACATTGACTTGTAAACACCAGTGAAGTGTCCTCTGGCACCGAGATGAAGAGCATTTTATCAGCTCATAGTAATCTATGAGGAACTGAACCAAACTGAACATTGGTGTCATATTTTTTTAATGGTACCAATAAAACGAAAACTATTTTTAGTCAGCATATTGTTGTTTTGGTTATTCTCTCCTCTGGTCACTAAGTCAACCCATTAGCACACATCATACACATATAGTCCCGCCTTTCTTCAACCCTCTCTAGCTCTATATCCAGTGAAAGGATTCTCCTGTAACACCCGGACCCCTTGTGATTTCACTGATCCTGCTCTCAGCTGCTACCAGCCACCACAGTCCACACATACTGGACAACTGCAGTGTTCCTCTGGAGGCCTCATATTAGTTACAGTGAAAGTCTGTCTGTGGGTGAGATCATCTGTCTGTGCCTACATGTCAACACGCTCATATGCAATCCTCATTATGCAAGCAACACGGTGTCACTTCAGTTCAGGGTTACAGGTCGCAGCTGAACAGTGGCAGTCGGTACATTCCCCTCATGTGTCACCCGGACTTGTGTGGGCACTTTTACCCCTGCTATTTAAAAGTTTTTGCATTCCACTGACATGTGTGGCATGTTTGTGTTTTCTACTCAAGAAGCTAGGAGTATTTATTCAGCTTTAGGGGGAAAAGTTGTATAAAACCATGTTCCGTTTTGGGCAGATTATATATATATATATATATATATATATATATATATATATATCTATATATATAAACTGTATATAAAAGACGGAAACTTCTGGATCTAAAAAGGGAAGTCAATGCTGAAGTGCCCTGCATTTTTTCTAATAGCCAACAGGGGGCGACTCCTATGACATCAAAAGCAACTTCAAGGGTGTGGAAATTACTTTTGACTTACAACTCAGTGAAGATTTCCTCATGAGTTTATGGTCTCAGTTAAAATAGAGATATGCTTTATCTTACTCAAAGGTTGGGAAATTACTGTGTCAAAGCAGCCAAAATATAAAAATGTCATCTCTGTGTTTCCGGTTTCACGTTCCTTGTTGGATCTTTGGGTTCCCTGGTGGTTTGTTCATCACGCCTTCATGGACTCAACAATTTTGGATTTTGTGTTTGGTTTGGACAATCAGTAATAAACTCTCCCATTATGTTTGTACTTCTGTTTCCTGCATCATGCACTCAAAAATATACTGAACTCAACACAGGAGATTGTGATGATCAAAACTATAAAAAACACCAGTGGTGAGGTTTTTCTAACAAGTGAGGAGCAAATGTTAAAGTAAATAATCAAAAATCTCTTTAATTCAAAAAACAAACACAGACAGACAGACACACACCAAAAGTATCACACTGAGCACTTACATCAGTTTCTAAGGCAGTTTTATTAATGACTGTAAAACAAGACATACAAATATATAAATAGCAATATGATGGTTTATAGAATGATAATAGATATTATTATTAAATATTACAAAATACTTTGACATAGAAAAATGTTTAGCTGGAGATGCCTGCATCTGCAGCTAAACTGATATGCAAATGCATAATATAAAAGCTTATAAATAGTAACCTAATTATGTACCGAAAATAACAATAAAAAACACGAACTGCAGGCACTGTGAGTGTAAACAGTCTGAGAGGGAGTAAAGGTCATGGGTGACAGTACCTTAGCACAGTGCATTAATACAATACATTTCCAAAGGCGACACGTAAACTGTGACATACACGTATTTTCTTATAAATAGCAAATTACATTAACGTACAGTACATTCTGTTTCCTTTTCTCAAAATAGGTCTTAATGACAGGCAGCATAAAGAAAATCCCAATAATCCATTAAGATTTCTCTCATTTTAAAAATGCTGAAACCTTTATCTTGCATTTTTTGAACTTTTCTGTAGCTCTACTCTCTTCTCACCACTTCCGACATGCTAGTAGCTTCGTAAGGCTGTACTTGGACTACAGTAGCTATTTAAGAATGCTCACAATAACAATGACAGTACATTCTGGTGCTAGCAGATATTCAATGTTCACTGTCTCAGATTAGCATGTTAGCAGGCTAAAACTGACTTATTAGCACAAAACACGAAGTTTAGTCCAGCTGGGAGTTGCAGTTTTAAAGGCATTTGTTAAAAATAAACTAAAGTGAAGTAACTGAATTTTAAACAAATAAACAAAATACAGACAAGACGTCAGACCGTTCATCTCAAGGGAGACATCAACATCTATTACCCTATCACTGTTGAGACGTTTAACTCAAAGTTCTGTATCATGGACCTCAATCAAATATGAAAAATTTCAGAGTAATGGAAAATTAAATATCATATCCTGCCATGACATGATATGACATCAAATATTCAATATTTTTTAGTCCAGCTCAAATGCTGAAGGGAAAATCATAAAACATGACAGTGGTTATGTAGGAAGACATCACTAGTTTTGTCTTGGAGGATTGAGTTTAATGTTTTGGACAGGGGGATCGTCTCTGGAGTTGCCGTAAGATTCTTTTTGACCAGTGACAGAAGACTTGTAGCCGGTCTGAGATCTCTACAGAGAACCTGAGAGCCTCGAAGGCTGTGGAGACGACCGGGAGGGAGGGAGACGCCGTCTGAGGAACTTGTTCACCGATCTGAAGATGGAAAGAAAAAGAAACCAAAGTCATTGGTTGAATCAGAGAAAGCACAAAACTGATTGTTTTCTCTTCACTCTCTGGATGAGTTTTAATGGGAATCAATACATTTAGCTGTGGAGTTGAATGATTAAATGTCAGGTCTGTTCTTAATTTGTTTGTGTCCTTTTGTTAATCTATATTTTGGTCATTGCTTTCTTTGAGAGACAGGAAAAAAGAGTTTAAGAATTTAGTCTTTATTCCTTTATTTTTTTAACCCAGGTGGTGATTAAATTATGTAATGACTACGTGGTCAAAAACAACACACAAAAAAAAACAAAAAATCAAAAGATGAATGTGAGTCAAAGTTAAAGTTTTACATTGTTATGTCAAACACTATCTTTTACATTTTGTAGCCATATTCTTTAATTTACTTTTTGCTCTAATATCAACAGTATCAGTTTTCAGTTAAAGTTAATATTAAATTAAAGTGTAAGAAATCTCTTGTGTGTCATTTTCAGTGGATTTTCTTTCTAAAAAACAAGCAGACTCAGTAAATTCAAGCCATACTGTTGCTCTCACCTTTTCTAGAAATTTTTTAGTGAGATCGGACAATTGCTCGAGGTGGTTGCTGGCGCCCTCAGCTGCCTGAAAGGGCACACTGACATTTACTTGTGCAGTTTTCAACCACTTGGTGTGCAGCCTGAAGGACTCGACGTACACGTAGAGCTGAGAGAGAGACTCGTTAACCTGCAGAGATGTTAAGGCGACAAATTAAGTGAATATCTTTTAAACTTTGATAGCATTTAGAGTGCATTTCGACCGTTTAAATCACTGATAGGAGAAACTGGATGATTACCTTCAACGAGTTGAGATGGGCAGCAGTGTGTTTTATTACAGGAAGACTGTCCAGTTTGTGTTCTATGTCCATGAAGGTCACAAGCTCGGCTTCTGGCTGTTAAAATATAGCGAAAACGGAGGTTTAAAACATAACCAGATTTTCTTATAATACTTATTATATAGGATTTTTAATTGTTAAACATAAACTAGAATGCTCACTTGAATCAGATAAGACATTTTTCAAGCTTTCAGTTCACAGTTATGCACTTTCACTTTTGGTGATTTACTATGTTCTTTAAATGACTCATTTTTCACTTGCTTTATTAAAAAGCGCACAACCAATTCTCTCATTTACCGAGACATTTTACAAGCCTTTTGCAGTAACACTCCTACAAAGTTTGTGCTCAAGTGTATCGTGCTTATTTTTAATTACGCCTCAAATTTTTCTATTTCTTAGTTGGAGTCCAGTTTTCGGTCAGTGAGGAAAGATCTGATTTATTTTGACCTAATAACAACAAGTTTTGAAACAAAAAAAATGGTTCTATGACAGAAAAGCCAACATGGATCTGGAACAGGAAGTGTAAAGTTAAACCTTACCAAACCATGGAGTTTTTTGGAGGAGGTGATGATCTTGTCCAAGTGATGAATCATTGGTTCAAACACGCTGTACGGACAAGGGGTGGGACGGGATGACGAATGGACAAATAGCTCAGCCAGTATTACCAGGTAGAGAAGAAAAGAGGTGGTGTCATGGAAAACTGCAAAGACAAGAAAAAAGGATCAAAATAATAAGTTACAATCTTGTGTATTTCATTAGGTTCTGTGGTCTTTCGCCTCATCAAAACACAATCAGCCACATAAAAACACCAGCTCCACATTTATTCAAAGCAAAGGATCGAGCTGAGTAACATTCAGCTGATGCTGCACACACACACACACACACACACACACACACACACACACACACACACACACACACACACACACACACACACTCTCATAACAGGTGGCTACTGGGCTGCAATCATGTTGCAGCAGAAAGTATCACAACTCAACCTCTTCCCCTCTGTGCGACCCAGACGTGCTGCTTCTGAATCAGATAGAAAAACCACAGAACTACATGGAAACTTGTTTTCATTTCCAGCCTAAATCTGGACCACATGACCCACAAGATTAATCCTGAGGCAGCTGTATTTGTCACGGCAGTTAGGAACTATTACACCATCAATCGGATGTGACTGTAGGTACATGCTAGCATTAACACCAAAGCGTTTGCTGGAGATCGGATCTAACGAACGAACAAACAAAAAAAACCAAAAAAAAAACCTCACACCCTCAGATATCAGATCCAGACATAAACAGTAATTCAAAGAAATCAGATAAGAGCAGGAGATCAGATACGAGATAAAACAAGCATGGATGGTGGTTTAGACACTAAAGCAGGTCACTGTTAGCATTTAGTACTGAAGGAGTGTGGGTGTGTGACAGAAGGAAGGAGAAAATTTTCTGCAAAGTGATAGCCGGTGTTTCCCAGAAACACAAGCAGCATGTTAACAGGTTAGCTGACATTTTTCATAACACTGTTTTTATTTGACCTGCATAAAGTCTTTTCATTTTTTTTAAATTTCAGATGCTGTTTCAGGTAAATCACATCTCAGAAGTGTCACCAGGGAACAACATCAGCACAAACTGGAGCCTCAAATGGCTTCAAATGGTCGCTGTCTTTTCCCAGCAATTCTTTTTGAAGCAGTCAAAAATGAATGGATGAGCATACTTGCTGATATTATGCTTTCAGGTTAAATGTAGAGAATGCAAATGTAGCGAGCCTCAACAAAGTTATAGCAGCAACCACTGATTAGCCCATACGGACATAAACCCAATACAAAAAGCAAGACGACTATAGCTGCTTTGTCTATAAGACTGTTAAAAAACATTCTACTTAACTCACAGCGAATAATACTTTGTATCCAGTACCACAGTCTCTTATTTTAGGCTGCATGGCTTCAGAAAAGTTGCTACACTGACCACTTTGGAAACAGAAACTATGAGTTTGCCTTTTTACTGTCATACAAAGTTGTTTTGCTGAATTTGGCAGTTGCCTAATGACACATTAATGCCAGATTTGCCATTTTCCATCAGTACCTTGTTGTAGCTCTGCTTTTGGTCTCCACTGGTTTCTGGGGAAATTATCTGTCTCTTTGGCTGCTAAATGCTTAACTATGTAAACTCTATTCAAACACCTTTCATGAGTCACAGCTACCTCCTGCTGCCCCATTTAGGTTAATGAAGCAAAGGTTGAGGGCTATAAAACAACAGGCAATTAATCAAGAACACCAAACTAAACTATAAAGCTGAGGGGCACTTTAGATATGTTACTAGAAGCAGCACAGTGTTTTTATTTTATGGCCATCCCATTTAATGTTTACGTATGAACAATAAAAAAAAAATTAAGTTTGATGGACTGGACCTCCGTGACTGAATACCTCCTACTGTGCTTAGTTAATCCCTGGAAAGAAGAACCACCCTGATGTTATCTGTTTGAGAATGAATAATTGCAATGAGTCTTCTGTAGTTTGTTTTGTCTCTATTTCATAAACTTCTTTTCATCATAACTGAAAGGAGTAACACCAAAATCAAGATTAGTTCATGTCTGCAGGTCTTTGTAACTTCAGAAATCCCATTATGCAGAGTAACAAAGAAATGAACTGTCCGTTAGTGTTAGATCAGGGATAAGGAATGAGAGGTATGCTGTGGGCTTTTTTTTCCCAGCCTGCTCTGGGCCTCTTGTTGGAAAAGGAGAAGGGAGCTGGCGCAGAGGTCTGACTCAGATTAATCTCTTGGCGGTGACATCACCGGGCAGATGCCCCGGGCTGCGCTTTTTAGAGGGAAAACATCCACTTTGTTATGAGTGTCGGAGCACTTTAAGCACTTTTACTGCCACTCAGGCACTCGGGGCAGTATACTTTATGGGCTAAAGAGGTCAACAATGAGGTAAAAAGGGTGAAATTGTTTACCTAAGAAAACAAAGTGAAGTTTTCGTGATGTTTTATCCATTTAAAATTAAAACGACTTGAATATTTAAATTATTTTACACAGTTCAGTAAAGGTGAAAATTTATTAAATGTTTCTACTTATTGTCTTCCCTATATTTTAGGTTTTATTTCTTCCATTTTTGCTTCTATAGTTTTTCTTTCTATATTTCTATATATTAGCTTTATTCTAGCTGCTGTCGCTGGAAGATAACTTTCAACCTTGATCTAATTTGCTGGTGACCTTTGGTCAGACATTATTCTTTGGAAGTCAGATTTCATCTCGTGACTTTGGCTGATCAGGAAACAGCAGGAAAGCAGAAGGTCAGCAGCCAGACAGACGTATAAAGCTGTGACTTTATAAATGTTACGCTAATGTCATTACAATGTGAATTTTATCCTCCACTTTTTAGTTACTAAACCCACCAATGCTATATGATAATTTGGGGCCTTTTCCTAGGTCTGAATGCACTCTATTTAACATTCACCCTCCAATAAATGCATTGGAGAGCAACTTCAGCATCTTGCCCAAGGATAATTTCGCATGCAGACTGGAGCAGCTAGGGATCAAACCACTAACAACCTTCTGATTAATAGATGACCTGCTCTGCCTCCTGAGCTACAACTCGAAGTAGGTTAATAGAGTTATGATTGTCTTGTGAGTTTAGCCTGTGGAACAAAACAGTGTTCATTTGCTAAAAAACTAAAAATTTCATAATGAACTTGTAGTATACTTTTATGTCTTACTGACCAGTGAAAGCAAAATCATGCCTCTCCCTATTTGTTTAGATAGCACTTGGTCTTAGTCCAAATTAAATTCACCAAGATGGCATCCATATGGCCCTTTGTTGGACTGGGAACATGTTCAGGGTGTACTCAGTGTTTTAGCTAAAGAAAGCTTAGATAATACGCAGACCTCCCATGATCCAAATAAGTATTTACTAATGGATGGATGGAAGCTGAGTCACTGAGGGCACCAGTGTCATAATGCTGAAACAAAAGATGGCTGTTAAATCAACGCATCTGGCGAGATGTACTTTTACATTCACAATGTGACTATTAATTAACAAACAATAGAGCTGTTTGTTAATTAATGGAACTGAAATTGATGAATTTAGGCTTTAAAAAAATGTCCCCCCCACCCCCCACACCACCACCACGACACACCTTCTTCATCCAACAAGTCAATAACTTTCTTTTCTTCTTAAAAATCTCAATATAAAGAGTTTTGCTCTTTCACTCTTCATCTGTTTGTTCTTGTTATGAGTGCTTAGTATTAAATGCACAGGGGGTCAAGAAGAGCTGGGAAACAATATTTTTCCGCCATCAGCATTCATGTCTGGATCTTATTACAGAGCTAAAATACTGCATCAGAGAACAATTTAATACTCTGATATGAGTCAGACATCCACCACCAGACAAAAATATTGCTGTCTGCTCTTCACTTATCCTCAATTTTCCCGATAGCACAAAACCTCGTGGCTTGATTGTAAGAACAGCGTAGTTTTTGGATTCAGTGTTGAACAAGATTCAAACACGAAATAGTTAATAACAAAAGTACAAGCACTGAATGAGTGCAACTGTGGCTTTTGCACATGCAACAGCAGGCTTCATGTTAAAATGATTTTCAGTTAGTGAAGGGCTCAAAATGCTTCGTTTAGTTATTGGAAAATTACTGAAAAAGCCATCAGCAAAACCCAACTGTCACACTAAGAAAAACATCCTCCAGCAGTGCTGCATACAGTCATGTATTTGGCAGAGTAAACAGCTGTGACAGCATAACGGCACAGAACAAAGTTGCTTAAGAAGCAGAGTGAATGGGCCACCTTTAATGTGTTTAACAGGTCATTTCATCAGCACTCGTTTACCCACGCACGAAACATCAACACACGCACATGCAAGCTCTCACATAATCACAAGCTTCCACCGTTTCCGATCGGGTTCTTGTGCTCTTTCTTGCTGAGTCAGACAAACAAACACTAGAGTTTCCTGTGTTTTCTCTCTGACACAGTGAGCGCCTTATTTCTTCTTATTTGCTCTTCTTTTACTTTGAAGACTGTCCAGTGAATAAAGTGTAAAGCCTGAGTGGCGGGAGGAGCTCTGTCATCTTTCTCCAAAACCATCAAATAAACAAGAAAATGGTAACTCTGTAATAACTGAAGTGTGAGGTTTAGCTTTCAAACAGGTTGTTTCAGGAGCAGAGTGACAGCACTAAAAACGTGTTTATACATTTTTCTACCAAAACTAAAATAAAAAACACTTTGGATACTTCAGATAAACATAAATATATAATTTCATATTAACAGTGAATCAAATGATTATGTAGTCTAAAAGGTGGCACCCTAAGGTGACAAACCCTCTAAAATTATAACCTGACTGTGCTGTTTAACTCCTCTAAAAAGCTTTACACTATAACAATCCAAAAGTGTTTACTATTTACAAGCCACATACTTCCCTTTAGGGAGTGGAGGTGGAGACCTGGAGTAGAGTTACAAGAGTGTGAAAGTTGCACTTAAAAAGTGAGGTGTAAGTTCAGTCACTCTGGATCATTCGGGACTTCAGCGTCTGTTTGCCTAAACTTCTTTTTATAGGTACAATTTTACAGAGCTACAAGTACAGAGTTGAAACTAGAAGAAAGAAATTGCTTGACTCAAGAAAAGCCAAAGAACAGAAAAAAAAAACAAGAGAAGGAGGGCATGAGTCCTGCTGGTGGGATTACGCGCTAACATCCTGGAAAGTACAATAGTTCTATAGAAGTTTACGCAAGCCCAGTTTCAAATTACTGTTACAGAGAAATGCAACAGGAAGTGTGCTGAAAATGCCACTCTGCTGGCCTAACAGATGTGCCATGTCATTGTGGCTGATTGGTCCCATATATATAACTTGTGAGGTTCTTGCAGCACTAAATTGTTGAATCTATCCAAACCTGACATGAACAAAAGCATGTAAATGTCAAAATATTGCTGATTTTCATGCTATAAAAATCAGCTAAATGGGGGAAGAAAAAGATTCTTAAATATAAGTGGCATTGATTTAATTAACAATTCTTAATAATATTAAATTAGCCAAACATTTATTTTACTTTGTTTTTCAAATTGCAGAGCATGACTGTGTGCAGTTTCAATTCCTGCAGCATCCTGTTTTCTTAGGTTCACTGGAGACAGGGTGACATCACTCCAGTATGTAGCTATATACAGACTTCACTGGAATTAATCGTTGCTCTGCCCCATACAGCTAATCCATTTATGTAGCATAACAAGGGGAAACCTATTCCTTAAAATGACTCATACTCACTACAACATCATAAAAAAAAAAAAATCATAGCCAAGCTTGAAATCTCCCAAGAAGCTTTGGAGCATAATGGATAAAGCCACTGCAGTAATAATGATTCGCATAATCTGAATATTGAGGTTGTTTATATTGAGGTTTAAAAAAAAATTGGAGTGGATGAGTTGCAGTACCATTTTTGTCCACTTGGGCAAGCTGGTATATGAGCTGACTCACTCCACAGCAGAATCAGGGTTCAGGCCCCTTATAGTGAGTCTGCAAATTACATTACAGTAAATGCTGGTGATGTGCAATGATGACATCACTGTCTGATGACCTGACTTGTAGCTTTCACAACTTTTGGATAAACAGACTCTGGGTGCCTCATGGCTCCTGTTTTTGTTACTAGTCATCATGTTTTCATAGTTAGTTGATGATCCAGTAGTTTTTGACTTAGTAAGAGTGTCATACAATACCAAACTGATTGGATGAGCATCAAGGAAATATCATTCCCAAAGCACAGATAAAGAGAATACAGTTAACACAGGATCAGTTCTTTAAAACTACTCCAGCTATTAAATGTTATAAAACCTGAGATGACCACACAACTAAAGTAGCAACTTGATTTATTCTGTTATTCTTCCTCCTGTCACTGTGACTGATTACCTCCAGACGACTGCGTGAAAGCAAAGGAAAACTGGTGTTTTCATGTCAGTAAAACTGTCAAAACGTTTTTTGTTTTTTCTGCTGACTACAAAGGAAAACCACAGAGCCCACCTTCACTGCCCAGTGACCACAGCTTCCTTTTCATTCATAAATATGTGCGCCAGTTACACAGCCATTCATTTCTGTTGCTGTCAGAAACTAGGAAGTCCACGTGTAGTGTTGCCAAATCTCTCAGCTAAGCAACAACAACAATTTATGACTTTCATACACTGTGTTGACATGATGATTGCCTCTGTAAAACATTAAAACAGCACCATAATGTGAAGTTATTTTACTTCACTTTGATCCTACACAGCACAGTTTTATAACTGAGCATTTCAATAGTAAAAACTAACTAAACACATTCATGCAGTACTATTTTAAATACCTCTACTTTACCTGAGTAGTTACATTTTATACAAGCTTATGCGACTACTTCATTATCTGAGAGATATAGTTATTACTTAGAGTGTTTCTCTTCCACCTTGAGCAGTTACATTACAGAGCAGTTACAGTGAAATGCTGCCTGGAAATTCATGTGTCAGCATTAAAGAGTAGGTTGGCCAAACAAATGCTACTTTCTACAACACTTTTAATACCCTAAGCCCATTCAGCTTAAAGTCCTTGTGTACTTAAGCAACTTTACTTTTCACATTTATCTGTGAGTACCTGTTTTTAATCTAAGGATCTACTTTTTAACCAGCTCGAACAACCCGGGAAACCCCTAAGACACAAAGCCATGCACACTGACACACACACAGCACCAGCCAATCACAGCCCAACCTGAAACTAAACAGTGGCTGATTTCTAGAGTTCAAATTAAACATTTAAGCACTTCAAATATCACTTTGAGTTTAGTTTCAGCCACAGACTGCTCGGGATTTAATCATTCACCCATCCATTCATTGCCTCTCCCTCTCCACTTCCTTTAGGCTAAAAGTAAAAGTAGGAGACCACGTGCAGCAAAGCCCCCCTTCTTCACACAAACATTCACTCTCACACTCACAGTCACTCACACCTCCCCCTCTTTCTTTAAAAAGTAACTTAGACCAACTTACATTTCATGTTTCTGCTCCTGCCGTAGTAAACAAACCTTCCTCTGAGTCCAGTGTGAGTACAGTACGTGTGAGTGATTGTGTTTGTGTGGACAAATGTAAAAGTTCCCTTTTATAGCATAGAGTATGACACATCACCTGAGTCATCAGCCATCGTCGCCATTTAGGCATCACACCCACGCTGGCCAACCACCCCTCCTCTACCCCCCCCCCCCCTTTATCTGAAAAAGCTTCAAATTTCTTTGTTTGTTGAGGTGATTCTAAATGGAGGAAATGATAAATTTAAAAAAAGCAGAAAATACCAGATTGAGCAATTTTCCTTTCCTCCTCTCTCTCTTTCTCTCCACTCTCATGTTATCACCTCACTTTCTTATTTTAACTACATTAAGTTTAGAAAATAAAACTCAGTTTGCAAAACACTGAAACAGATTTAAGAAAGTAAATGTAAACCCTGTAGGAATGAAAATGGCTGTAAAGCAAAATATAATTTGTACAACAACATATTAAATAAAAGAGGATGTGGTGATACTTGCAGGAGTAAGTAGCGCAAACAGCGTGACCACATCCCAGCAGCATTGACCATAAATAATAAATGTACAGAAGGTGAAAAACATGAGGAGATGAAGACCGAGTGTAGCTTCGTGCCAGGAGTTAAGTCAATACTATTCCCAGATAATAGAAACTAATACTCATAAAGGAGGAAATCTCACTTCTGTTTCTGACACTTTTCTTTGTATTTGATTTTCTGGAATTTCAAACGTTTGGAAAAAGATGATCTTTTATTGTCATTTCGTTAATAATCTCCTGCCTGGGTTTAAAAAAAATTGATTCTTTTTTTCTAAGAGCTGAGACTGTACTAATGAATTTCTTCAGAGTTGCGAGTTTGCGTATCAAAGGGATCACGTCAGTTCCCCCTGCTGAAAGTCATCTCTGTAGCGTAGTGATGGAAACGTTCAGGTTTAATCATTTTGTTTGTAAGCCGATTAAAGCACCTACTCAATATTTGTAAATATGATTTGATTTGGAAAATGATTATGAAACAAAATGTAAAATATTCATCATTAGCAGCTTTTTCTTGTGAGGTGGTGGAGACCAAAACAGAGGTAAAAGAGAATTAATCTTGGCCTGACTCACACACTCAAATGGAACATGACGTAAATAACTGTTTGCAAATAAAGCTGCCGTATGAACATTAAAGAGGATAATAATATATGTAGATCTTGTTGCATTCAAAAACTAGCCCAACGTGTTCATGAGAAGCTGTGCTTTAGATTCACTACTATATTGAAGATATCTTTAATCTAAAGCATTTCTGCAGGATTGTCTTCCAATGAACAGTTATAACCCATGGTTGAAACAGGAAGGGGCTCTCCTTGGTCAGAACTTGCGGCAGATGGGTGAGAAAAACGGGACAGAGACCAATGTGGACTTTATCTCTATTTGGACCAGTCAGGTGATCCCTGATTAGGACGTGGGCAAAAAAAAAGCCTCAGGACAATAAGGAAGTACGTTCTAGTTGTGACCAGCAGGAAACCACCACACTCACAATAGAAGTAGTGAGTTGGGAGTGTAATTTTGGCATTGAGTCCAGGGCACAAGGACACCACACTCACAGTTATCATCCTAGTTACAAACAGGAAATGGTGTTCATTCTGACGAACAAGCAATCAATCACATCTTGCATCTTCTTAACTTTTCCTGAGTTTTCATTAAATTTAATAGGCTTTGTTTTAGTAGGCAGTGAGTTTTCTCACCAGATCTTGGAAATGCAACCTTCAGTGTCATCTTCTTCAGGTCTTAGGTGCTTTCATAAGGTGGCAACCCTCTAATTGCACGATAAGGTTTTAATCCTTTGACAGTTTCTGGTCCAGTCTTATGTTAAAAATTCCACATATGCCCTGATTAAAAACGGATCCTCCTTCCAATAAAACTATTTGCCTTTAATTCAATTAAAATCAATTAAATTTAATTTGTATAGCTCCAACTCACAACTGCCTCAAGATGCAATAAGGTCAAGACCCTACACCCACCTTTAAAGATGTGCTGTTCTCCAACTAAGATCTCCAATTACAACCAGCTGCTCCTGTGTTCTACCTGGCTTCTGGTGTCCCCACCCTCCTTTCCTCCTGTCTTGCCTCTTTATAGAGACGGGTCTCAAACTCGCACCAGTCAACTACTTATAGTGTTCAAATAGCTGTCAGCTGAACTAGAGGTGGGATCTCTATCCCCACATAGGTGTGGTCTATATATAACCCATTAAAAACATACAAATAACTAATAATCCTAAACCAGTGTTTAGTAGCAGATTCTCTCAGTTACTCTAATATTTCATATTCTACAACAGTAGAAATATTGTTCTACAAAGTCTAAAAACAATATCTCAGCAATCCTCAAGTACTCCAGCATACCTGGCACATTGGTCACTTCCATTGCCATGAGGTCCTTAAAAGAGTGCTGAGCAGAAGGTGACTTGAGGTGTTCAACGTCTGCACAATTTCAATTTTAGAACTATTTTTTATCCAAGACTTGACCGGTGTCAAAATATTTGCAGACAATTGATTTTTTTCTCTATTTTCTGTAATATTGTTCACATTGCTTTTAGGCTATTATAAAGAACCATCAAATGTTCAGCTCAAAAGTTCAAAACCTGATTTACTTAACCAGAGGAGCACATCACAGTGGCTACATCAGTTGTTATATAAAGTTTATACTATAAAAATGTTTTTCTTCAAATGTTAGCTCCCCTGAAACAGATGAAATGGACCATATGGCTGTGCATTGGTTTGTTGTTTGACCATCAGTAGTAATTCTTTTTCACATTGTCTTGGCAGAAGACTCTGGGTGCCTTTTTAGTCATAAATATTGATATTAACATTTGCTTATTGACAAATTCAGCAGTAATGGGGCAATATCGGTTTTTATATTAGGACATGTGTGCATCTGATAAGATGTCTATGTGAAAGATAAATTCTTTTCTTACAAATTGATGATGTGTGCACATTTCTCTTCATTTGAAGCGTACAGTTTTTCCTCACAGCCTGGACTGGACAGTGTCAGGTAAACTTATTCACACCTTTCTGCCTTACTGCAGTAGTTAGTCTCCAAAATCTGTAGTATTTGTGTTGATGATCATTGGCAAATTTAATCTCGGCTGTCCTATTCTTTCTCAGACACATATTCTGGCATTTGAGATGGGCTGTGGTTGGAGGGAGTTATTTGCTTTTGGAGGTGCAAGCAAAATATACTGAGATTGCAAGATCAGTTGTGTTGCACTGTGAAATATTGCCATTTCAGTGCCAGTGCATAAATGTGGTAAAGTAAAGTAGAGGGCGTGATTCTCTTCTATAAAAAGCTCCAAGTGTTCTCTTCACAGGCTCTTTATCGTGGCTTGGGAATTTACATTTTCATCGGATGACTATTTTTTTTGGCCCAAGAGTGTTACACAGTGAAACAGAATTGATCTTTCAGTCTTAATCTCAGGCCTGACACCCTCCACACACAATGGTGGATAATTTGGCATTGTGGGTAGAGCATGACGTCAGTCTGTGTGACAGAAAGTTTTGAACTTATGAATGGTGTCCCTCTGTGCCCATGCTCACTGATCCTATCTCAAGTTGCCTGTTAACTGTTGTATCTAGTAACTCATCTGTAAACTGATCTTGCTGCTGTTTCTTATCTGTTTTTGTTGACGCAATTTGCATTGAGGAGAACAATGTTTGCCCTTTTCCCACTTGACTATGCCAAGTGTCACTACAGTTGCTTTAACTAAAAATATCCATCCATTCATTTTCTAAACCATTTATCCAATAAAGGGTTGCCTATCCCAGCTGCCATAAAATGTAGGGTGTACTTTGATCGCCAGTCCATCACAGGATTAACGCATGTTGACTAACATCCACACTTGCTGCCAATTAGGTGTATCACCAAATAACTAAACAAGCAGGTTTTCAGAGGGAACCCACACAGACACAAGGAGAACAAACTTCAGAAAGGCCTTTCTGCACACAAGAGACTGTATGCCAATCACTGAATGGAGGTGGTGGCTTACGACACCAACCATCAGGCTTCACATCTTGATAGTTCAGTGATGGTGGGGTAGGGCAATATCTCAGCGAGATTTCCCCCATTAACCCCAGTGGCGATAATAACCCATGCGAGTTAATGTGAGTTAACGTGAGTTAACGACCCTCACGACCACCTCCAAAGGAGACAACCCCACTAGGGTTTTATTGCCTGGAACTCTACACAAGCTCTTTTAGAACTGAAGGAGCTTCTTGGATGAGAGAGGCGACATGTCTTCACAAACCTAATGCAGCCCCTTGTCTTCTTTTTCAAGCCTTCAAGATTACTATGACTTGAATGATTTGAAACCTACATAGACATTGAGACATAAGACCTTGCACTGAGGTAACACCAGTGGTTTGGCTTGTGTCACCGCTGCTTTGGCAGGGGGCACCGTGTCTAAGGAGTGACGTTACAGAGTTTCCAAGAAGCCACTAGTTTCCTGCTTCTTATGAAATGTGTTTGATAGTTAAAGACTCCACCCACCAGGATACAAAGTTGATATATGTGCATGAGAACTATATCCTTCCCCCTCATTTCTAATATACATATTACTGCAGTAATTGGATAGTGTTTTTCATGAAATGCTGAACTAATGAACTTTGTGCTAGAGAAAGTGATGTGCAAGAACAGAAGAAACCACGTCATAAAGGTTGCAGGATGACTCGCTAATTCTCTCTTCTATCATCAAAGCCGTATGGGGCATGTTTCAGTAAGCGAGCGTGCGGATTGGATGAGGTGGTCTCATCCTCAATAGTGATTTGCAGAGTCGGGTCTACTTGTTTCATCATTTCCCCAACCACCCACGCTCCGGATATCATTTACTCTAGTTCACGCTCTTCTCGTGTTCTGTGACCTCTGCTGAATGAAGGCATATGAAGAATGCAGCAGTGAATGGGCGACTGGGGGAGGCAGGAATGCACATCACTCAAAGATCCAGGTTTTTCTTTTGTTTGCTGACACTAATACAAACACACACAAAGCTTAAAAAATATGCTGAAGGCATG